GTTCATAGACTCATAGTTGTTAGTATCGTACGAGATACGCGATACGTATCGCACGATACGATATAAAAATAAAAAAATTTGATATGTATCGCGTGGGTGTATCGTAATTGACAAAGAATCGTACGATTCATTTTTGTATCGGCCGATTCGATACGTATTTTACGATACGAACGATATGCACGATACACTATTCCATTGTAAAATTCTTTCTATTTAATCGTATTTTTTTCAATTGACATTTTATTTCTTCTTTGGATGGCTTTATTTGCGGGATTGAAAACTACTAACACTATAACTCCCTCTCTTTGATGAACAAAATAATAATAATAAAAATTTCTGAATCATCATATCAAATAAATATTGCGATCTTTCCTTTATAAAATTTGCAAATGAAATCTAAAAAGTAAAAAAGGCCATGACTTTTTAACTGATTTTAAACAAATTAAAATAGCTTCATTACATCAAAAGAAAAGTGGAATTATGATGCTTTCACTATTACTTTTCTTTCTGTAGTAGACATGTCTTTGTATATATATAATAATGTTAGTTCGTATTTATTCTATTATCAATATAAGTTTCAATTTTTTAGATTACAATAAAATTTTTATTAGTAATAATTGGCGGAAAATTTGGCCTTTCTTCCTATTTTCCGATAGTATTGATGCATAATTGTTCAAATGTATTTCCTAAACTAGGGATATGTCACCCTTCGATCAGAATAATACACTTATAATAAAAATTAAACAAAAAATAATAATAATGGCTTAAATGATCTAAATCTTTAACTCCTAAAAAAATTGGCAATTTTATAAGTAATATTTATATTTTGTACAATATACAAGTAAAAAAATGCTAATTAATTGAATTATTATATACAATTATTTATTTTATTATAGATTAAAATTATAATGTATTTTACGATACGAGACACGATACGATACATGAGTCGAAAAACTAGAATTTCGATACACGATTCATATCTCGATTGAACAACTATGGGATAGGCTTATAAATGAATTAATTTGCCGTTTCTTGCAATAGTTTATTGACATTTAATCAGTTTAGTCCCTGTCTTAAGTCAATGACAATGAAACTTTGACTGACTATGGTTCCTCAAAATTCGTCAATTTTTCAAAGTAAACGTAGATAGAATCATGGGAGGGGGGAATGAAATATACATGTTTGTATTGCCACGTATTTAACTAATTATAAGATAAATTAAATCACTTTTCCTGCATAGAAAGATACCAACAAGTCATTTCAGTGTAATTTCTTTTCTCCACTCAGTTGAATATTGGCATTAAATAAAGAAATTTTGAATCAGTCAAAATGAAATTTGCCTTGTAATGTACATTGCCTACGGCTACTTGTTATCTACTTTCCAAAACAAAACTGCCTAATTGTCTCATTGTTTTTTGGGGTTATATAATGGTAGTACTAAATGTTCGATGACTATCAACACATTAAGATTGCTCATTCTTATATTTATTGTTGTGCATGTAAAATATATTGTTACCTTGTAAAATACAGAACATTCTTGAATCCTGTTCCTAATGTAATGGACAATATGTAATGCTAGACTAGAAGATTGAATGTGGCATTATAAATGTTTTATTGACTTGACTGTCGAGGATTAATTGACCATTGCGCCATTTCAAATTTTATGGGATTGAAATTTGAAAGTTTGACACTTGGCAACATTGATGTTTCGAAGCTTCCATTATATGTATTTTTCAGTGATTGAGATACTATCATTTCCCCCCTATTGAAGAAAATAATATTAATTGGAAAGTTCAAAGGATAAAGTGACATATAGATTTTCTTTTTTTGAAGAAAGACATATAGATTTTCTTGTAAGAATGATTTTCATCATATATTTCCGATTGATGATAATAGAGGCTTCTTGATTTTGACTGGTATCTATGGAACAAAACAATAAAAGAAGAACAAAACAAAACAAAAAAGAAGTTAAACAACAAAGAAGTGAATTTTTTGAAGTCGAAGGAAAGGTAATGTAATTGAAAGGTAATGAAAGAGAAAAGAGAGTTTGTTATTGTAGATTTGTAGTTAACTAAAGGTAATGTAATTGACCTTTATCTATCACCAATAAACATAAAGCATACGATAATATTTTAGAGCAAGACAAAGGTATTTCGTCGTTTCAAAATTATTATTTAATCAATTATTTATTTTATTTTAAAATAATTTTCTTAAATTTAAAATAATACAAAAAATTATACTCCTTCCATTCTAAAATATATGTCGTCGGAGAAAAATTAATTTTTTTCAAAATAGATGTCATTTTTGCATATCTAGGCATATTTTATTAATTTCTTCCACCATTGCCCCTACATGAAAAATAGTAATTGTATTTATATTAGAAATGTATTAGATTAAATGATAGTGGGAATAGAATTGTAGTATTGAAAATAAATAATGGTAGTTTAGTATTTTAACCAAATATTTATTGTCTTCTTAAATTTTGTGAAACTCCTCCAGCGATATATAATTTGGAATGGAAGGAGTACAAGATATATTTAAAATAATATATACTCCTATTTTTTTAGAACAAAGGAATGTGTACCGCAAAGAGGACATTTGGTGGTAACTCCAAATCTCCAATAGTAATCCTCCGACACATAAACCAAGAGTGAGTTAAAAGCATGTTGTAAACAGTGAGTTTACTAGAACGTTAATATTTGTCAAAAAATACTCAAAAAAATGACTAGACCGGACTCAGGAGTACTGAAACAAAAACGATAATCTTGCAGCTGCAAATTCAAAGATGTAGTTTTGACTAATTAATCTTCGAGGAAAAGAACTTGGAGCAATAACAATTCGTTAATCCACACTGTCCTGTCTTTGTCATAGATAGCGTCGAGTGTCATCTTCACGAGATGGAGTGATGGACCTCTCTAATAGTGTCGTACTGCCGTTTACCTCGTCGTATGTAATTTGTATTTAATACAAACTTCGTACGCGTTTTTTGGGTGTATGGTTATTTGAATTTCTTTTTCTTCCTGTAATCTTCTGATTCAGGAAATTGCAAACTCCAGTATTTTTTTTCCCTATTAGTAGTGAGTCTGCAAAAAAAATTGTTGTTGGCCATGGAGATCAAGTTTCTCAACTTATTCGCACTCTTGATTGCGTTCTATCTCGTGAGTTTCACAGAAACCAGCAAAGCTCTGAAATTCACCTACAATGGCTTCCAATCTGCAAACCTGAATCTTGACGGCATTGCCGGAATCACTAAAAGTGGCCTTCTGATGTTAACCAACAACACCATATATCGAACGGGTCACGCATTCCATCCGGATCCCATCACGTTCAAGAACTCATCAAACGGTTCAGCCTTCTCATTTTCCACCACATTTGTGTGCGCGATTCGGTCTTCCCTCCCGAATTTAAGCGCCCACGGATTAACTTTCTTCATTTCGCCGACCAAAGACCTTCCCCGAGGCCAGTCGGATGAGTTATTCGGACTCTTTACCAACGTCACCAACGGAAACTCGACGGAACATATCTTTGCGGTGGAGCTTGATACGATACAGAACACCGATACCAAGGACATCGATGATAACCACGTCGGTTTCGATATAAACAGCCCCATTTCAATTCGGAGCAACCCGGCTGGATATTACCCTGATGGCGGAAATGGTGTTTTTCGAAATATGTCGCTTCTTAGTGGCAACCCGATTCGAGTTTGGGTCGATTACGATGCTGAATCGAAGCTAATTACTACGGCAATTGCCCCGCCGGAAGTTGGGGCAAGACCGAATACTCCACTCTTGAGTTTAACCTACGATTTGTCGTCAGTTCTGCAGCAGAGTATGTATGTCGGGCTTTCAGCAACCACTGGTCCGGTTTTGAGCAATCATTACATCTTGGGATGGAGCTTTGCGTCGGAAGGAGATGTGGTTCAGCAACTCGAAATCTCCCGACTTCCTAAACTTCCTCGAATCGGTCCCAAGAAAGTGCCCAAATTTTTATCAATCGGGGTGCCGGTGATTTGCTTATCAGTGATTTTAACTGTCATTTTTAGCATCACTTATTATGTGAGGAGGAAGAACATGTATGCAGAAGTGCTCGAAGATTGGGAAGTCGAATACGGGCCTCAAAGGTTCAGGTTCAGAGATTTGTACAGGGCCACAAAAGGGTTTAAAGATACAGGGCTATTAGGAGCTGGAGGATTTGGAAGGGTTTATAAAGGCGTGTTGCCGAATTGTCGGTTGCAAATCGCCGTGAAGAGAGTTTCCCATCAATCCAGACAAGGGATGAGACAGTTTGTTGCTGAAATTGTTAGCATTGGCCGGATGAGTCACCGGAATTTAGTCCCTCTGTTGGGTTATTGCCGGCGTAAAAACGAATTGCTGTTGGTCTATGAGTACATGCCTAATGGCAGCCTAGACAAATATCTCCACCACCCTGATCAAAAGTTCACCCTGGATTGGGGTCAGAGATTCAAAGTTATTAAGGGCGTCGCGTCGGGATTGTTCTACCTTCATCAAGGATGGGAGCAAGTTGTGATTCACAGAGACATTAAGGCTAGCAATGTTTTACTAGATTCTGAGTTAAACGGCAGAGTAGGCGATTTTGGTCTGGCAAAACTCTATGATCACGGGGCTGACCCGCAAACCACACATGTTGTTGGGACTGTGGGCTACCTTGCCCCAGAGCATTACACAACCGGGCGAGCCACGACTAGCACGGATGTGTACGCTTTCGGGGCTTTCCTACTTGAAGTCGTGTGCGGAAAAAGGCCAGTCGAACCGCGGCCAGGGTTAGCCGAAGATCTGATTTTGGTTGAGAGGGTGTTTTCGTGTTGGATTGAAGGCCGAATCCTGAGCACAGTTGATGAGAATTTGGGTAATGACTATGTTAAGGATGAGGCGGAATTGGTGTTGAAACTTGGTTTGATGTGTTCTAACTCGGAACCAACGGCTAGGCCAAGTATGCAACAAGTGGTGCTGTATTTGGATGGTTCAATGCCACTGCCGGAGTTATCATCGCTTGGCATTTCTGCAAGTGGAATTGGATTTGCGCATCTTAATGGCTTCGACGATGTGGGAATGTTTTATTCATCATCAACCGGAAATGCATCTTCCCAATACACTCATCCGGCGGAATCGCTTCTATCCGGCGGTCGTTGACAATTCACGGTGGCCTGATGATAAGTACTTAACATTTAGACTTTAGTTCAGCATTATGTGTACTTGTGTAGTACAATGTATAAACAATGGCTCCTTGCATTATTTACGGAGGAATGATGAAAATTGGAAAGTACTTAAATTTTAGTTCATCATGATGTGCAGTAGAATAGTATTCTACAAGCCATAAAATGTATCGTTGCCCTATTTTGATCCTTTCCCCCCTTTTGATATCTTTTTAATTCCCAAATTCCAATTCCAATAGAGATACCAATGCGACTTCAAGGACTTGGAATGTCACATGAAGATTTTTCTACTTACTAGTATTATTCTCGCACGTTGTGCGGTGATATAATATATTATATATTAGTTTAATAATAAAAAAATGTACTATTTTGATTTGGCTACTAATGAAATGTAGTCTCTGATTTATTTCATTTTGTATCCCAATTTAACTATGAGATTTTTTTATCATGTGTATACGTATATAAGTATAAGTTTTTAGTTTTTTAAACAGAGATTTAATGGCTAATTTTGATTTAATTATCTTATTTTAGAGTGATTTGTCCCCTACTTTTCTTTTTATATTTCAAGAATCAAATGAATATGGTAACGTAAATTGAGTATTATATAAATTGTTAATCATGCATGAAAGGAAATAAGACACGCATTTTTTGTTAATCTTCTATTCGAAGAAAGTTATTTTTTTAAGGAAATAACCATTTGATTGTGTTTGAAATAACCATATTGCTAGTATAAAATATCCAATAAAAAATCTACGAATCAGAAGATGACATGTGTATTACACAAAATTCTTAATGAATTAAAAGATGACACGTGTACTTTCGATGGCCTAATTGACTGACATGTGTCTTTGAAAAAAAATTTCTTTAATATATAGTAAGAGTACAACTCACAATAATAACATTTAAAAACCCATATTAACCAAAATAAAAAAATCCAATTTTAATGGTAAACCATAAAAAATATACGGTGGTTTACTTGATATTTTATTCAAGGATGATTCTACCATCTAAAACACAAAAACTCAATAAATCAGAAGAAATATGTAACATCAAAATCTCCAAATCAAATAATAAAAAAGGAGCTAACCTTTGTTTTTTTCCTCGATACAAAGAAAACCTAACAATACATAAAATACAAACTCATAGGATGAAGTTTGTAAGCAACTAATTAAATTTTTTTTAACGCTAGGAATAAAACTTTAAAAAGTAATATAGCTCTTGTATGTATAATATTTATAGCAGGTAAAGATCTCTGCTGCGCATTAGGGTTTATGTATTTAGCCGCCACTATGAGAAATTTTTATCTTCAAAATAAAATAATGAGTTATTTCATCAAAATCAATTAAATTATAACATATATCCATTTTAAAATAATCATATTTAAAGTGAATTATCTATGGTTAATAATTATTTAAGGTGGATTATCTACAATTAGTACAATTAATAAGTTTTGAATTGCGGGATAAATGAGGGTTGCTAATAATAAAAACTTTAATTTAACAAAAATAACGGGATCAAAGAGTAAATAGTATTTTCTCAAAGTACTAATATAGTAAATAAAATTAGTTTTGGCTATTGTCTATAGGATTATTATTTCTGGAAAAAAGAAAATCCCCAAATCTTGTGTCTTTCCCCACAGCCGCCTCCTCCCCGGTCATCTCCAAATCCCCACAGCCGTCTTTCCTCAAATCCTGCGTCTCTCATCCGACACTAAATTCGCCTATGGAATCTCCAAGGTGGACGCCCTCTTCTCGCCCCTTCGTCGGCGACATCCTCTCCCTTGGCTTCTCGATTGAGAATCGTCTCTACCCACTTCACCATCCCCGATCTATTTTTGTCCCTTGTTTTGAATTTGGCTTCGATGATTCATTGGTGATGTATTTTTTGGTTATTCAATTCGGAAGTCAAAATTGATCACTTAGTTTGGAGTGGTTTTTTGATCCATTCTACTTTGCGTCTCCAAAATTGATTTCGTTTGGTCATCGAATTTGCTTTGATTCTAATTATTGATTTTGGTCACTTGCTTCGAAATTAATTCAGATTTTGGTCACCGGTTTCGGGATCCCCGTGGCGCCGGAAGTGTACTAAATCAAGATGAACCGGAGATCTTTGTGGCCGGAGAATATTTTCCGGTCAAATTGATGATTCAAAAGAGTTATTTTTTTTTTAGAAAATAACCATTTGACTTGTTTAAATCATATTACTTGGATAAAATACTCAGTTAAAAAAATCCACGAATTAAAAGATGACATGTAGACTACATAAAATTCTCTACAAATGAGAAGATGACACGTGTAATTGGAAATTATCGATGATCTAATTGACTGACATGTGTCTTATGAAAAAAATTCCCTTAATATATCTATACTACTTAATTAAAGCAGCAAACAAAAAGGACATGTGTCAGCACCGCAATGAAAGTTTTCCCGCCAAAAGCTATTTTCAGTACAAAATTATTTTTGACACGTGGCACTCTAACTAATCAGAAAAAAAAAGATGGAATAGATAAATACATAAATCCCTTAATTATAGCTATATAAAAATATCTTAATTATATGTATATACTAATCCCTTAAAACAACAATATTTACTTGATAAAATCAAATGTAAGGAAATTCCCTTAAATCAAGTGAAACACCAGTAATGTCTTCCCAATCCCCAATTTCAAAGGATCTCTTCCATTCCGCTCCTCTCTCACACCCGAGCCTCTAAATTAATTACTTAAAATCTGACATCAATTATCAATCAATATCTTTCTATTACAGAGGAAAAATACGCTGTCATGAAAGAAATATAATTTTTTAAGGATAGTTTTTTTTTTATCCTTCTGTTGTAGATATTGGTTTATGATTTATGTAAATTCAGGCATAAGTTAACTGTTGTAAATTAAATGTTGTAAATCTGGACATATATTTATGTGTAATAACTCACTTCCTTTCTTTTCAATCGATTTTTTATTTTTTTTTTATTTTTTTATTTTTTTATTTTTTTAAGAATGATTCTTATTTTTTATTTAATCAATTTAAAAATATAGGCGACACTCGGGCGAATACCCGGGGCAAACATCTAGTAGTAAGATTATGACTGGGATTCGAAATCCGAATATAGGCATCTAACAGTTGAACTACAACATATATGTAGCTTGGGACAAACTTTGTGGCAACCGAGTAAAATAGTTTAGGCTATCATTTTCATGGCAAATACATCTTTTATTAAACTTGCTTAGATGAGTGGAAGTCGGTATTGTACTTATAATTTTTTTAAAAATTAAAATGTTGAAAGACATACATCTCTGTTTCCCTTACGTGGAGGGAATTTTTTTTTATAAAATGTTGTAGAATTTTAGCCGTCTCCTTTGTAAACATTAAAATAAAAAAAAATGTTTTTCTTTAATTGGATTTTTTTTTGGGGGGATGGAGTATTTTTCTTTTCATTTCGTTTTCAACCAAGCTGCCATTCTGGAAGAGGGGAAAGTAGGGAAAATAAGAATAAACTGAGAAGACCGGTGTTTGGAAGTCAAAATTCACTGACAATTACAAACACTGATTTCGTTGATTCTCCCGAAGCAACTGAACATCATGCCAGTCAGAGTGCCGGAGTCGTCGTCGTCTACCCCTTCCCATGTTCCTGGTAATGCCGGCTTCTTTTTAATCTACCGTATTTAACTAACTTAACCCTAATTTGAAGTTGAATTCAATTTGGAAATTTCATTTCGTTTGCCATTCAATTCGTTGTCGAATTACTGTTCTCATTTTCTATAATTTTTCTGCGAAAATATCAAATTAGTATTCTATGATCCTAATTTTATATTTACTTCTTTTGAATTGGAAATTATGGAAGGTGAGTATCTGGAGAAACGTACTCTTCAACCTTGTACGCTTCTGAGTGTTGGACAGGTGATTTTCTGCTCTGATTGTTCCCTTTGTCACTAATACATGTGTAATTCATACTTGTTCATACCTGGGCGTAACATTTCTGGAATGCATGCTTACATGTGTGCCTGCTGGGCACAAATTAAGAGATTCCTCTAGTTGTTGTTGCCTTAAAAAATCTATCTGTTGTCTGAAATTTCCCAGTTTTAACCACATTCAATTTTCCTTATTACTTTAATCATGCTATTTTTGGATGATGTGTTGCTGCAGGCTTTCTCTGGTACGCAGAATGTATCCACTCTTCAAAAGGATGAAGCTTGGAGAGTAAATGTGCGGATTCTAGGCTGTGATTTGGATCATGGGTACTTATGTGGAACAATGGAGGCACTAAATGTTCCTATGGCAGACACACCTGTAAGGATCCTTTTAGTCTTACCATGTCCATCTTTGTTGCCTGATTCCGTTATGTGCATAAGTAGCGTGTTTTGCGTGATATCAATCAGTTTATAGTAAAAGCATCTTACTCTTGGTGCCGTATCTTTGCTTATCTTAGCTAATGTAGGATTTGATCATAGTCATTTTGTGAGTTCCTCTTGTTATCTTCTATTTTCCATTCAGTTCATCAACAAAGTTTTCTGCCTTCACTATTCTCTAAAATGGAGGGTCATATTCCCCCATTTTAATCTTCAACTGGTTGTTTGGGACAGGGGATTGTTGCAGGCTGCTCTTTTTCTTGATGAAAATTCCTCCCAAAGGAGGCCTTTTTGTTGCCCATGATTTATTATTTTGATTGAATTACCTTCTGAAGACACTTTAGACAGTTCAGTGACCTTTTAATGGGGTAAAGTGTGGGAAACTTCTATTTAAGGGTGTTGTAGAATTTTGAATTCCTAGAGGGTGTAAAACTTTCCTCTTTCAAAATGAGTAAGAAGAAGCTTTCCCTCTAATCTCGTTTTTAGTTCAGCCACTCAACTTCAGTATCTGCTCTCATGGCATATTTTACTGGAATTAAGATCATATTGATGAATTTATTTTTGTATTGATCAATGATCTTAGAAGAGGCTCTTCAAGGAAGTACAAAGTGTGAAATTCTTTGTTTCTAATTTTCTCTCTATGTTGGATCTCTTATTCTGTTGTCGTAGACCAAAGTTCAGATTTTAAGAGAGTTAAGAATATACAAGACCTCTTAAAAGGGATAGCAAGATATAAATATGTAAATTAGAAAGGTAAGTAGATCATTCATGGACCAAAAGATTTCACTTTAATTCAAGCTTCAAAGTTGCCCATTTCCCTACTTTTATGGGATACGACTCATTGGGTTAATAGTTTACAAACAATTAAGGCATTAAGAATCATAAAACATATACACCCTATAGTAATTAATAGTCTTACCGCCCCCTCAAAGAGAATTTTCTCAAAAAGAATTAGAGTAGCCAAATTAGCTATAAGTGTTTCCTTACCGCTTGCCTTTGATTTCTAGTGGGGGAGTGCTCAATTCCTGTGTTCTAACATCATATTGATATTGATGGAAAGATGTTTGCTTTTCAGCAGTTAGGTATATGCATGGGTTCAATTTCATAGGATTGTGTTAGTGGCTTATAACGGAACACAAAATGGAATTTCTTGATTTTATAAGAGCATAGCCAGATTATTACATGCATAAATGTTTTTTCTTTGATTCCAAATGTGGCGCAGGTAATTACTTTTTGGGAAGGCGAGATTGTTGATTCAAAGAACTATACTTTTTTCACAAGCAAGTGGGGAGCAACGTATGTTCCTGTGCATTATTTACACCAGGCATTAATTTGCTGCAGATACTCTTTTTGTTTCGTGATCAATTGTTGTTACATTTGAAATGAAGTCTGTACTGTGTAACTAACTTGAGATCACAAGCAGGTCTGAGGATGACAAAAAACATTGGACAAAGTTCCCATCTTTTTCTCCGCTTCTTGTAAGTACGTGAATGATTTTCGTTAATGTTGCTCAATGTTTGTCATGCTGATGTTTTATTCCTCTTCCCAGAGCCAAGTGGAAATTGATGGTGGAAAGTCTTTGGATTTGAGTAGCTACCCATACATATTCATGGTAATGCGAAAATGTGTTTTTATTCCTGAATCAGAGTTCTTTAGAGCATCTTTGTTTAGTATTAATTTGTCAAGTCTCTGTTGCAGAGATGGAAAGAGCAATACTTTGTGAACGTCGGAACTGATTGTGGGCTCACAATTGCTGGTTTCTATTATGTGTGTTTTTCCTGCAGTGATGGCTCTGTCAGTGGCTTCTATTATGATCCTAACAGCAGGTAATGTATTGAAAAGTTCAAGGAAATCTACGAGGCCTGTAACTTTTGGGCCACTTGCACAAGTTTATTTAAGTTTAAAATTCATCCTACCTAGGATGATACAGTATTACTGATTGATCACTGTATGTGACTTTTGTGCAGTCCATTCCAGAAGTTGGAATTGAAGTCTGTAAACGAGGGCAGATCTGGATTCAGTTTTTCATCATATGAATTGCAGTGACTTGGTTGTATCCAGAGATTGATGTGTAAACAGTAAAGGTGGTCGTTATCTCATCAAGTGTTGAATTGTAGAAATGTAACACTGGTGGTCGCGACCTTGTATGACATCAAATTGCGTAAGTCCTTAGTGCAAATGATGAGATGTGCTTTCCCATGTGAATATTATCTCGAGGATTCCTGGTTCTGGAATTGTGGATATTGGCAAAGTTGCTTGACTTCTTCATTCACTTAAGCCTAACATTTGTCTCTAATTCCTCTTAGTGGCTGCACAACTTACAGCAAGAATGCAACTTTTTCTCAAAATATGGTAGTTTAGAAAGTTCCTGATTTGGAAGTGTTATCGAGTTTGACTTTTGTTTTGAAATTGAGTTGCTGCTATTGTTTGGACTTTGGAACCATTTAAACACATTCCAAGACCATATATTTTTTTTCTACCGGTTTCAAGTTAAGTGAATATGTGAATAAGCATGGAGTAGCTGTCTCTTAGAATCAACTTCAACATTGTTACGCAAATTGTCCTGAAAAAACACAATGTCAAGGCGATTTATGGTGTATTATTTAGGCTTTTTTTGTTGCAAAAGTAACAGTAAATTCCGACTTTTACTGAGTATGGAGGATTCGGAATGGTAAGAATGGAGCCATGCCCTTGAGCAGTAAATGAACATACAACTATTCATGCAGTTATGCATGGGAGAGACGTCTATTTAAGGCCTCCCAGATTGGCAAAAAATATCCTAATATATACATATCCTATGCCGTGTCAATAAATAGTTGGCTAACAGGGACTATCCTCGTGTGTGTAGTCACGCAATTGTCAAACCGCAGTTAAAATTAAATTGAGGAACAGTTAAACGCCAAAAAATATCTCTCAAAAATCTGCTGCATTTACCCCGTTTCATGAGGGACGTCTCCTTTTGTTTATATCTCATGATCTATATCTCCTTTCCCTCCCTATATATATCATTTCCATGAAGTACTAGTTATTGATCATTCGGAGCAATCGTGAAAAACAATCACCTAAAATGAAGGCTGAGAATCTGTTGTGCAATGAGCTGTGGCTTTCGATGATGACTCCTACGCCTGGCCAAGTTGAAGAAGAACTATTAGTTCATCCAAATGGAAACAATGGTTTTACTGCAGCTTCCTCGTACTCCAATGCGGAAGATTGTGAGGAAGTTTTTCGGGTTTTTCTTCGGAAGGAAATGACGACTTATGCTCTGGAGAGCGATTACTTAGAGCATGTCAGAGAGAACTTTTGGGTTAATAAGGCTAGAGTTAAAGCAATCAACTGGTTTGTTAAGGTAAATCGAATTCATCCTATGCCATGATTAGTGATCTCTAAATCCATTATCCTTTTGAGTTATCATCGTTTTAAGTAAAGCTTACATCACCCTTCACTTTTTGGAGTCTCAAAGGCGGCTGAATCTCTCACTGGAAACCCTATTCGATGCTGCCAATTACTTTGATCGGTTCAGTTCTCTCAATAAATATCAAGTACGTAAGTATAATTAATAGTATTCCTATATTAATTACTCCATCTGTTACCAAAATTATTGTCCAGTATAAATTTTCACTTTTAGTACAATTTGCACCACAAATGAAAATCCAAACTGGACAATTATTTTGGAACGGAAGGAGTATTTCATTTGTTTTCGTGTTGCATATGTGATTGATACGACAATTCAATTCTTGGACATGTATTTGCGTACGCACTTTCCAGGTTTGTAACGATTGGATGATTGAACTATTGTCGGTCGCATGCCTGTCAACTGCTGCAAAACTCAACGAAACTAGCCCACCTTCGTTGTATCAAATTCAGGTTCCTCGTATTGATTAGCTTAGATTAGTTAGCAGTTAATATATTGATCAGATTGATTTTGGTGTTGTCATCGTTGTAGTTTGTTGTAAATATTAATATCCATTCGTATGTATGCAAATGCAGATGGAAGGAGTAGAGAATTTGTTCGAGTCAAGCCTGATTCAGCGGATGGAATTGAATATGTTAGAAACCTTGGAATGGCGGCTACGTCCAGCAACATCTTATTCATACTTTGAACTCCTCACTAAAAGTAGCATTAACAATCTACTCAAGTTCAATCAGAAGCAACACTTTGGGCCGGAATTCGAGGAACGCGTCATTGAGCTTTTAGGTGGTGCCCTTTTAGGTACGGATTCTATATACTCTCCGTACAAAATAAGAGTCCTATTTGTTGAGCTGAGGAAGTATTTGTATATATATTTACTAGAGTTTAGTTCTCCAGATTCTAAATTCTTGGAGTTCCGGCCCTCCGTGATTGCAATGTCCGCACTCCAACACATTTCCGACGAGTTGGGCTCAGCCAGAGATGGGCAGAATTCGGTGTGCATGGCACGATTTAGAGCCCTGATCGCTTCTCCAGATCAACAGGTAAAGTATGTTAATTTTACATCACTATTAGTGAGAGTGACGATAAACAGATTAATTAATTGCTTTGGTCAACAAAAACACAGGAGAAATTAATCAAGTGCCATGAGATGATGACGATGATGATGGAGGAGAACTCGGTGGACACAAATTGTAAGAATTGTGATGATCCCTCAAGTCCAGTGACTGTTTTAGCCAATAATACGCAATGCTGCTGTGATTTCGGCCGAGATTGCCAAGCAGCTGATGATTCCCTGTTCAAGACGAAGAAGAGAAGGATTGGATGAATGAACGACCTAGCAAGCTCGCTGGAATTTAATGAACCATGGCAATGGCACTGATTGAGTTCCTAATGATAGAGTTAATTATACTTATTAAACGGCGGCTGGGAGGATTTCTAAGAAATCGTCTTCCTTGATGATGTGCACATTGCACCAATCCAATTTCAAAGTTGTGACCAATTAGGTTGCGTTCAGGAGTTTCAAAGTTTTTGAAACAATGAAACCTGAACCTCTCTAATCATGGTTAACAGTCTATTTCGCAGAGGGACAAATTGTTATCCCCAAATACATAGTCCTTGTAACGCCCAATCAACGAGTCTGTAATCTCTCCTTTTTAGTACTACCTTTGAACTCAGCACTTCGTGTACACTATATATAGTTATACCAAGGAATGGATTACTTCTTCTTCCTTAAAAAATCAAGGATGATAAGAATCACGACGCTCACAGTAAACCTGTAGTTTTGACGTAGAGGAGACTAATCTGTACGCGAAAATCTGATTAGAGGTATCCGAAACCTCTTTGCCACAGAGTGGGACTGTTAATTTGAAGCACATATATTATCGCAATATCAACTTTGCAAACTCGATACCCACTTCATCTGAAATTAATTCCGCAAACTCCATAACCACCCCATGTGAAATTAATAACTTTATAATAACCAATAAATGACTATACTGAATCATCGATTACCATAAGTTATGGTTAAACCAAGATGGAATTACCAATTAGGATAATTACGCCCAATAATTTTTGTCTAATTAAGGTTTTGATATTTTCTCTTCTTTTTTTATTTTCTTCAGAAAAAGAAGATTACGGAGGAAAATACATAAAAAAAAATATTTGAGGAGACAATTCATCCACCTCGCTTCAGTCGTTTGCTACCATGGCGTGGGCCCGGATGGCCACTGCTCGACGTGGTCGATTTGTGTTGGTTGGCAAACCTTGTGGATAATCCATCTTCTTTGTTATGAAGTGAATTCAAAGAAAGGCCCAAAAAAATCGGCCAGAAGTCTTCCAATGGCGATGGTTACGACGTCGTCGGCGATAACATCTTCTTTACTGCCGGCCACCGCCACAGTTTGTAATCGAAATCAGCAACCGTCATTTCTCCAAAACCGAAGCCATTCGTCCCAGAAACAGAAAAGGGCCGTCTTCAAGGTTCAAGCTGCAAAGCTTCCAGCCGGAGTAAGTGTTTTACTATTTAGTGTCACATTTTTTTTTGTGGAATAATCTTCTCGTATTATCCATTGTATTTCTGACAAGTGAGGAATTTCTGCAACTTTTCAGGTGGAACTCCCGAAAAAGACGCCAACGTTTAAGCCCCCTGTAGCTGGGTTCACGAGGGTCGCTGAGATATGGAACTCCAGAGCTTGTATGATTGGCCTAATTGGCACATTCATTGTAGAACTGGTAAAAAAAGAAAAAACAGTTTAATTCAATGGAAGTAAAATTTCAGTATTTCAGATGTTAAAATTTAACCATTACTGGTTTATCTTGTTTCCAGATTCTGAACAAGGGGATACTTCAGATAATTGGGGTTGAAGTTGGTAAAGGTCTTGATCTTCCTCTGTGATGCCCCAGTCGGCATTCTTAATAGATGCATTGTTTTTGTTTGTCAAACTAACAGAAGCTTGATGCAATTTGTACCCAATGTTTTGAATCTTATAAATCATGATATATCCTTTGTTGATGGTGACTCTTGTCTAAACTCTAAACTATCAGTTTCACAGCAACCTATCTTTTCTTGCGCTTTCTCTGCTAGAATTTGGCAATACCGATTATCACATTACCACGTTGCTGCACTAAATACTTCAAGGGGAAAACTTGAAACTAAAGCCCCAACTAAATTTCTCGAAAGTACGACTGTTGGGGCTTAGATTGAAACATGTTTATTGCAAAATTACATGTAATATGGAAGACAGAAGGGTACATACATATCGTCCAATGCAAGGCCCATGCTCCATATATCAGAGGCACCTGCATATTCTAGTCTCTATTATAGGCACTTTAGTAGAATCCTCAGATATATCCAGTGCCTCTGCAAGGGAAAGCCGGCGATTCTTCCATGTAGCTTCTGCCCATCGTCGCATTCTCTCTCCTTCAGCTTTTCTATTCTGTTGTAGGCAAAGTATTTCTGCATAACCACCTGAAAAAAACCAGTCAAACTTTTATATGGAGCTGCAGCAAGTATATTAATCAGGTAAATAGCAGCATACAATTTTTAAACCATACCTCTGGCAAGAGCCACTATCTCCCTTCTATAAACCGTTACTTCAGCACCTATATATACACATCAATGTATTTACATGATAGAGTCAATTGGGTGAAGACCAAAGTCCCACAAAAAGGTGAAGTCAAATTTAAGGACATAACTATGCTAGATCATTACCTTCGGTTTCTAGTGGTGGCGCTTTCAGCAATTCAATTGCCTTCCGATAAAGTCCCTACAATATAAGGAGAAGCCATTTTAAGATTAGAACATCCAGTGCCAATAGCATGATAGACAAAAACTGTGAGAAAAGCAAACAGCTGACATTACAGAAGCACGGACAGTTCTTTTAGAAAGTAAAAAAAAACCTTTGTGCTCCACCATATTTACAGAAAAAATTTCAGCACTTCTGAACTGAAGAAAAAGATGACGGCAACAAACATGGCAAAGCTAACCACACAATTTGCCGAAAGTAGCAACTTAAACAGCAGCTCTAACCTCTTGAACTAGAAGAGAACTTGAGCCCTCTGCTGTGGCTTTCAGCCGGTACATGAGAGCTATGCAAGTTAAAATAACACCAACCTTGGGATGATTGGACCCTGTATCACATCAAGGAGAATCAAAATCTTGATCATATTTTCACCATATTCTCTGATCAGACAATCTACATTACACAAACAGAAAGTCGCCTACCAAAGTGTTCTTCAGCTCTCTTCAGTGCTCTTGTTAGAATCTCCTCGGAGTCGCCAAGATTCCTAGAAAAGAACAAAGAATTAAGTAACAGGCAATGAAAAGTATCACATGAAGACATTGCCAAATACAGCAAAAGCTGCAGGTGTACCCCAGATGAGCCTCAAGCTGTCCTAATGCACAGGTAGCTGCTAACAAAACCTCATCTTTGGCCATGTTACAAGCTCCAAACTCATGTGGGTTATTGGAATTTTCCGCAGACAACTGCTGAATTACATTCTGATATAATTCCTGCGCAAGTGGAAACTTCCGCATGCCGTGAACATATTCACCATAAGAGAGAGCAACATTGCCTATACAACACAATGTTAATAAAAACATTGCAAAAGATACTAACATGAGGCCCCTTTTAAAGCAAAACCTTACCGGTGCAAGTTTCACCTTTCTGGGGCACAGACAAAAAGGACTCCGCTGCGGAAGAACAAGCAGAACTAAGTTCCTGGAATAATGTAGGAGTGCCACAAGAGTAACAAACTGTTCAACAATCCCTTTACACACCTGTTTCAATACTACCCATCAGAAGTTCGAAAAGTCCTTTCAAAGCCTTTGCCCGAGCTTCTAGATAATCAAATCCACTCGCACCATCAATATCTGGTTTGATTGTGTCTAACAGGTTGTAACATGTATTTGTCAGAACTGAAGAAGTATCAACCTGCGCAGGAAGTAAACCTTGTTTTCAGCTACCTAAAGCAACTAAAAACATCGATTAAACAGTAATTACAACAAGAAAAACTTTTGTAGACTTCATTGCCTGATCCATTTCCAAGTGCATTCCAACCAATGCCTCAACAGCAGCAACTGCAGCAAACAGCCAGTATTAAGCACGTACAAACATCCAATTCACAACATAACCACTGAAGCAGTCAAATGGCCAATTCCATTTATTTTCTTTACTAGATCTTTACCCTTAGAAATCTCAATTAATTACCTCTAATAGCAAGAGACGAGGAAGAAGAGCCCAAATCTTCAATGCTCTGAAGCTTCTCAATGGCTCCTGTAAAGTCTCCTCTGATGCAGAAAATAAATAAATAAATAAGTCAATGAAATCATCACGGCAGAAATGAAATGCGCAGCTTTAGCGTTTGCATTTAAATGAACAGGAAGGCCAAAAAAAAAAAATAATAAAGAAGAAGAAGAAGACCTCTCGTATAAAATGGTTGCCATTGCTAACAAAACCATTCCTTTTGAATCTTCATCTGATTGGTTGGAGCGGCACTGCTCCAACACCAGCATACTCTGAGAAAAAGATTCATCTACAAACACATATGCAGCAAGAAATATTTAGAATTCACAGAAACACAAAAAAGAACAGAAGAATTTTCACGATAGAAGATATAAATAATTGAGTTGGACGGACCCGATTTTTGGGAACGGGATAGAGAAAACGCATAATCTATCATTTGTTGGGTTACTGAGCTGGCCGCGGAACTTCTTTCAGGCTTGATGCTCTCAGAAAACAGTCGGAACCCACGTGGCGGAGCCGGTGGTGGTGGAGGAGGTCTAAGTAAAGGGAAACCCCGGCGGATTCTCAGTACTCTGAAACACTTGGCAGCAGAGCCCATCATAGCTGCAAACCTTCTTTGGAGAATCGTGGGAATCGGGATTTGGGAATGGATCAATAATCAGTCAAATCTCCCCAGAAAAAGCAGAACCCCGAGAGGGTTTTAGCGGTGAATTTTTGGGAGCACGAAGCAGTAAGCACTTCTTATTTTCATCACAGTTGTCCAAAGCTGATGATTCCTGAGACAGGTGGTGAAACAGACTCCGGCATTCAACTACAGAGAAAGGCCCAATTGGAAAAACCAAAATGATTTAGCAAGTCCAGGAGAGATAATTGGGTCAGTTTCGTTTCAAGCAAGACCGGCCCATTTTTAACTTCAGTGAAAGTTCATATAAAGGAAGTCCATTTGGGCAGGTTGAACTTTCTACTTCCCAGATTTGTTTTAGCAGAAAGTAAGCGAAGGAGAACCAAAGTGGTGGTGGTGGAGTGAAGTACCTCCACACTTAATCATAGTTCGAGGGTTCGAATCTTGTCATGAGTATTGAGCAATCTTAAATACTTTGGCCAGCTATCCCACCCATTAAGGTGCCTACGACTCAGCAAGGAGGATTAATCACTGTTACCGATAGTGAACACCCTACAAATATGGAAAAAAAAAAAAAAAAGTAAGCAGAGGAGAGCTTCAAGTACAAGGATTTTTTTTTTTGGTTAAAACAAGTACAAGGATTTCCAAAAGTGCAAACAAAATGATGAAAATTGGGATCTCAGGTTAGTTATATCACCCTTTATCTCACTTAGCATCTAATATTTGCACTAATCCCTATGTTAAAAAAATCAATGCTTTATCTTTTCTGTATCCTGGTATACTTGCTTCTTTGAATGTCCATCCATCAATTAGTTAATCAAAACTGAAATTGCATGAACAAGTAAGAAAGATGCAAAGCTAAACTCAAATTTAAAAAGCAGTTGGAAACTTTGAAATGCAAAGTAGAGAAGCAAGTTAAGGTGGCTAACATACGTGGCTAAGTAATAGGCATGTGAATTGGTTTGTAGATATACCAGGCAAAGTAAAGGAAAAGGAGATGCCTACAACACACCCTTATAAATTGCAGAAGATAAATGTAGAAAATTAATCAATTGCTCTTAGGCTGCCTGAATTTGGCCATTCGATTTAATCCATTACAATCGTTATCCCCCAACTCTTACTAGTTAATCTCACTGAAAATAGTTCAACATAGTCAAACAAAAGTTTGAATGTTATAGTAATATATATATATATATATATATATATATGTATGTATGTATGCGTGTGTGTCGTAATTATGCGAAATTCTAGTAACAAAACCTCGTGTTTCTCTTTTTTGGCATGTAAAAGAAATAAATAAATATAAGAACAACAATGTCCTAACATTAAATCTACTTTGAACCAATAAGATAAGACAATAACCAATTACAGCTAAAAGAAAAGACATGGATAATAAACTAAACCTTTTTTCCCCCTCCCAAAATAAAGTATACTACAAAGTTGAGCGAGATTAATAGCCTCAATAAATCAAGGAATGCAACCTCGCCTCGGAAGCAATGCATATATGCTCGACCTTTTTTTAAATTAAAAAATAGTATAAAACTCTAAAAAGGGTAGAAAAAGCATCCTAAAACAGGTACTCTATCGGCTACTGGGCAGAATGCTGCTTAGTGGAGAGTTCATTTGAGCACCTATTAAATTCAAACATTTATGTGCGTAATTCGACATTGTATCGCATCTCTGAAGTTCCTGTTTTCCCTTCATCAGCAAAAACAAATTTTTTTTTTTTTCATTTGACATGGCAAAAATGCAAATCCCTTCGTATCTTCTACTAATCCTGCTCTCCATATTCCCCGTATTCACCAAGACAAGTATGCTTTGGATTTTTTTGGATCTCATTCCAATCTGTCTATTTTCTTGATTATGTCTTTTACACTAACATTTTTTTGGGTTCATTTTCTGTGATGATTGCAGATGGAAGTCAGCTGATTATAGTCAACAATTGTCAAGAACAAATATGGCCAGGGATACTTGGCAGTGCAGGGCAGATTACACCAAAAGATGGTGGTTTTCATCTAGCTAGTGGCGAGGAAGCGGTGATTGATGTGCCTGATAAATGGTCTGGCAGGATCTGGGGCAGGCAGAATTGCCGGTTTGATGCAAACGGAAAAGGTTCCTGCGACACGGGAGATTGTGGCGGGACACTACATTGCCAGGGAATTGGTGGCGCACCGCCAGCAACCGTGGTTGAAATGACGCTCGGATCATCCTTTTCGCCTTTGCATTTCTATGATGTGAGCTTGGTCGATGGCTTTAACTTGCCGGTGTCAATGAAGCCGGTTGGAGGAGGAATCGGGTGTGGGATCGCAGAGTGCGAGGTTGATCTAAACGTATGTTGTCCATCGGCATTGGAAGTCAGGATAGGTGGAAGAGTGATGGGGTGCAAAAGTGCTTGCTTGGCAATGCAGTCAGCTAAGTATTGCTGCACTGGAGAATATGCAAATCCCAAAACTTGCAAACCTACACTCTTTGCCAATCTCTTCAAGGCCATTTGCCCCAAAGCCTACAGCTACGCTTTTGATGATTCTTCCAGCCTTAACAAATGCAGGGCTTCCCGTTATGTCATCACTTTCTGTCCTCCCAAATGAGAAACTTTGGGCGAAATCCAACACTGGCAGTGTCAACTCAATTAACAGAATGTGCTAAATATGTCTAGTCTTTATTTTTGGTTAGGTATACAGTACTTCGCAAAGTAAGCGGAAGCCCAGGAATTAGAATCCTTTGTATTCTTATGTTAGCTTCCTTACTAAAGAATTTCTATTGAATTGAAGGGCCTGTAGGAGCCTCATATGTAGCAGTTAAGACATATATGACACAGACTCGTTTACCTTCTAAAACATCATCACTGCTTACCAACCCACATTACAATTTGCACAACAAAAACTCAGTGCTCTCCATATATGAGCTTGTGAAACAATTTGCACAACAATTTGAAGGTGCATTTCATTTGTGACTTGTTAATACAGATGATACAAGTACATACGCTGTATGATTACTGCAAACAATGAATCGGAGAAAGGGTGTTGAATTCAAATACCGTAACAGAGGAAACAGTTTCCAAAAGCTAGTAAATGATGGAATGGTATGGTCCATTTTAATTATTTGTCAATTTGGTTGAGTTTGCCAAGTCCATTGCAGTTAGGACATACAATCTGGGCTTGATCTTTCCTAGCTGCATTAGCCTTCAGTGTCGCTCCACCTCGCCTTATGAAACCAGCTCCATCACATTCAGGGCACCTGCAAAATATCAACATCAATAATAGTTTTCAATGCAATGTATCTTCATCAAGTTTGTCACTTTCCAAAAAAGAAAAAGAGCAGAAATGAGGAAAAAGGGTTCACATACAGGTCTTTGCGGGAGAATAATATAGGGAATGCAGTTCCAATTAAAGCAATCCCAATAGCGCCGGCGATTAGGTAAGTCGTTCCGTCTGAAGATACATCTCCAAAGGCTGCAACCACCGTCAGCGGCCGGCTTTTCTTCTTATTGATCCCGTAAACACCACTGGTTTTGAAGGATGGAAAAACTTTTGAGCCCACGAACGTTGTTGACTTTGTGGGTTGACATTCTCTCTTGACTGCTGAATTTGTAGAGAACAGAGCCTGAGCAGAAGCTATAGATGCCATGGATGAGCTCTGACAGTTTGATTTGTACAATGTTTGAGATGAATTTTTGCAGGAAGGCAGCCGTGCCAGGAAGACTAGGAGAAAAGTAGTCTATATCTGTCAATCTGTGAGGTGGATAAGAAACAGCCACATCAGAAACCTTGTAGATTTTGTTCTTTGGATAAGCATGGTCCATTCGCCATTTGGTCCTCCCTATTCATAATAATACTCCCAAAGAAGAGAAGAAAATCCAATATTTAGACTGAAGTGAAGTGAAATAATTTCAGTGGAGTAGGTTTTCATATAATTTTTATATTTCATTGAAACAATATCCATTCAAGAAAACGACCTAAATTATTTTTTCAGATCTTTTTATATTTTTAATTTTTTTTTTTTTACAAAATTTTATGGAACATATTATATAATACTATCATACAATTCAGTGAAGGGGATTAGTCCAACGGGGACACCCTGTAAATATGCAAAAAATAAAAAATGTAAAACAATAAAAAAATGTGACATTTATCAAGGAAAAATAACTTTAAAATGTAGAAAATGGCATACATTTTTCCCAAAAAAAATTTCGCATGCTACAAACAACTAAGTCTCTGTTTATTAATCTCCTCCCACTATTTTTCAATGATTTTATAATTTAAATTCGATTTTTATGGGATAATATAATAATCATTTTACTAGATGCTTGGTCCGGGCAGATACCGGGCGACTTCACATATTTTCTTTTGACATGATATGACACTGTTTGATCAATTATTATTGTTTTTGTATAATGTAGATGAAAAAATAATTAAAAAAAACTAATTTACACATAAGGGAAGAAGGCTACTATCCCTCTTATTCCTCACTACATAAATGAAACCATGTCATTAACATTGCTATCAAGAATCCGAAACGACTTCAAAACATAAATAATGAGGTCTTATAATATTATCAAATTTCCCGTTACAAATCATTACTCAATTTTTATACAATAAATATAGAAAAAGGTATACGTCTTCCATTTTTATATAGCAATAACAATCATCTTCATCTATTTCTTCGACTTCTTTTGCAATGAAAGGTACTCAGCTTGCAAAACCTGAAAATCATGCTACTGTCAGATCAATTCATTATATGTATATATGTCAATTGAAAGATTCCATTTAACTTGACCAAATTCACTCACTAGCACTATTTGAGAGTCTTAAGTTATCACAACGAACCCAAAGTTGCATAACCATTCTTCCCAAGACTATTCCAAAGTTTCCAGAACAATATAGAAATTTTATGATCTTTTTTCCATTTTATGACTCACACAGATGGTCGGAGAGTTCTAAGAATAACAACACTGAAGATCATAGAGAACTATCTTGGATATATACTTTATAGAACAAACCGAATTCCTATATATTTTTTTCCCCTAAAACAATCAAGTCAGTTTTCTCCTCAAAAAAGAATTTATCTAACATAAAAGGAATGGTAATGGGAAAAAAGTGGATCTTTATCCGTGAGTACGCCGATGAATGGCTTCCTTAATTAATTGTTTTTTTCCTTTATAAGATTTTTTCTTCCCATGAGATGTAACATGAATTCGAACAATTATTAATAAAAACAGAATAGAAAAACTAAAAAACTATATGGACATGATTTAAAATAATTATAACAAAACCCATTTAAAAGCATATTTAAAATTTATATTGTCAGAATAATCTTTAAACTCACCCTATTTATATTCATGCTTCATGTTGTTATTCATCGGAGGCTGTTTCAAAACATCATGTAATTCCTTTTGCAAACCTGCAATCCAACTTAGTCATCACCCGTAGACTCATGTTTCCAAATTTATGCCCTGTATCAAAAACTAACAATTTATTTTCATCATGAGGCTATTTATTAAGATTGATTTTAACAAAAAAAAAGAAAAAAGAACCTGCAGTTGTCGGTTAATAAGCAGATCCACAGACACCAAATTGGCTAACGCTGCTATTCCTGATATTCATGATTATGCCGCTGCCGTGGCTGACCCGTTGGACGATATCATTGATGATGAGCTGACCATCCTACACAAAATCAAAAAGATTTTCAATGATGAAGCGGCGGAGGAGAAAAATAAAATAAGAAGCGATGGATTCATAATTGATTTCAGACTATGTGTTCGAAATTGAAAATGGGATTGTGATTGATTGCTTAAGATTAGCATGTACTGATTTTGAGAGTAGCAAGAAATTAGGGATTTTATTTAACAAATATTATCATGATTCGGGGTCCATGAATAATACTGAAACACGTTTAACTCCTAAATTTTAGGGACGGATTATTATCTCTTTTAAAATTTTAACTGATTATTTTATTTTTGGTTTAATAAGTGAATTTTTTGAGAAGGCCATTTTTTCCCTGCCCATTGAGTGTGCTACGTGTCAGAAATCATTTTGTACTGAAAATGATAGTTGGAGGGAAAATTTTCGACATGGAATTGACACCTGTTATTTTTATTTGCTACTTTAATTAAGTATTATAGATGTCTTGACAGAAACTTTTAGGGTTACAGAAACAGGTGTCCACATTGCGCCAAATATCCATTACACCTGAAAAATTTAGTGGGCCGTAATCTTCTGTAGACCGAGATAAGCCCATTAAAACGGCCCATTGAGGCTACTGTGAACTTTTTGCTGGGAAGGTGCTGGCACAAGTGAACAAGACCTGGGTTGTTCGGGAATATTCTTGAAATCCGGTAAGTCGTCGACTTGACTTTCCTCGAAATAAAACTTCTGAACTTCTGATATCTCGACCGACGCAGAATGTGGCCTCTATATATGCTTTGATTCTTTGTTTACCCCCAACAATCATCAGACGAAACTCTCTGTATTCTGCCCCGAGAAACTCATTCTTTCGTACTTTCGTATTCTGTTCGATTGGATTGTTATTTTACACTTTTAAGCCCCTATAATGGCGAAAGAAGGACCAAATTGGGATGGTTTACTAAAGTGGAGTCTTTCTCACGCTGATGGTACTCGCCCAACCCGTAATTTAAGGTAACCCTTTTCGTGCTTTGTTGGTGGAATGTTAAAAAGTTTCTGTGTTTGTGATTCGTGCTTGGTTCTAGGTTTTATAGTTTCAGTTTAATTTAATTTTTTGAATTTCCGATGGGGAATTTATTGTGTTTTTGGGCTCTGTAGTGAGGAAGATAGGAAGTGGTTTATGGAGGCTATGCAAGCACAGACTATTGACGTTGTCAAGCGAATGAAGGAGATAACCATGGTTATGCAAACTCCCGAGCAAGTACTTGAATCTCAAGGGGTTACTCCTGAAGATATTGAAAGTATGTAATTAATCCTAGCCTGCATTCTCTAAGCTTTGTTTAATTTAAATTATTTAGGCCAATGGTGGAGTTGATGTTGGTGGTCTTATTCTTGCAGATATGTTGGACGAGTTGCAGGATCATGTTGAGTCCATTGACATGGCTAACGGTGAGTGTATTTACATTATCAGCTTGTTAAATGTGCTTTCAATTAGAGTTTAAATGAGTTCAGAACTTAAAATTTCAATTTCAGACTGTGAATTAGTGGAACATGAGCTTACTGTTTTTCACCAAGTATGGATTGGTGCAAGTATGTGAATGTGTTTGTTTAGACTTCTTATCTGGATGCCTTGTGATGGATTACTTTGATTGATATGCTATTGCAAGAGTTATCTTGGCTTGTGTTGGATTGTAAGTGGTTGATAGTCTTTTGGCCTTTGGTTTGGTCTAGATGCTTAATTTTCTCTACTGGATGTGCAGATCTTCATTCAATTGGGGGGTTGAATCCTCTATTAAATTATCTGAAGAATTCTCATGCTAATATCAGAGCAAAAGCTGCAGAAGTTGTAAGCACAATTGTTCAGAACAATCCTAAAAGTCAACAACTAGTCATGGAAGCCAATGGTCTGGAGCCGCTTGTACACAATTTTGCTTTGGACCCTGATGTTACTGCACGCACTAAAGCCCTTGGTGCTATCTCATGTGAGTGTCTTTCTATTTAGGAGAACAATTATGTTGTTGGTGGATTGTTCAGGTATTTATGTTACGAATTTTTGATTGATTTTGGATTTCTCCTTTTGGGCATATTTCAGCATTAATCAGGCACAACAAGCCCGGGGTTGCTGCATTTCGTCTTGCTAATGGTTATTCCGCCTTAAGAGATGCATTGAGTTCTGAGAATGTCAGATTTCAAAGGTACGTCTATGAGTATATACTTTACCTTCATAAAGCTGTCTTGTTACTGTCTTGTTTCTGATCATGCATTTGATCTGATATCCAGGAAAGCGCTGAACTTGATCCAATATCTGTTGCATGAGAATGTCTCTGATGCCAATGTTGTTACTGAATTAGGATTTCCGCGCATCATGATTCATCTGGCTTCTAGTGAAGATGCAGAAGTCCGAGAGGCAGCTCTGGGAGGTCTACTTGAAATTGCCAAAAGCAAAAAGGACCAGGCTGATAGTCCTTCAATCGAAAATGATGGGAAATTGAAGGAATTACTCGAGCAACGCATTAAAGGGATCAGTATATTGTCGCCTGAGGAACTTGGAGCTGCTAGAGAGGAGAGGCAACTTGTCGATTCCCTTTGGCAGACGTGTTATAATGAACCTTCCTCCCTCCAAGAGAAAGGACTTGTTGTTCTTCCAGGAGAAGATGCGCCTGAACCACCACCAGATGTTGCTAGTAAGCATTTCGAGCCACCGCTTAGAGCATGGGCTGCGAACCGGAATGCTGATGCTCCACCTAGTGCTGAAAAGAAAGAAGAAACTCCTCTGTTACTAGTTGGGGCTCCACCACCAAATACAAACGAGGAAGAAGAACCTAGAAATCCTCAGTGAATCCGAATACAAACAAGGAAAGTTAGTGTAGTTTTGTTTGACTACCATTTGCCAGGAGTGTTCTGCTAGGGTGGCTTTCTACAAAAAAAAAAATTCATTTTGCTCTGTTTTCACTTTCTTTCTATTGACGGGGAATAGAGAATACATAGGAGTTTTTAACACTATTGTAGTTTTATTTCTTGTTATGCAATGGATGAAATTTTAAAGCAAATTATGAATTGTGGGCTTTTGTACTACTTGATTTCGATTATACTTTACTACGTGTCTGATTCAATATTTTAGGGAAAATTTTGATTAAGGACATAAGAAAGAGTAAAATTATTAAGTAGGGCATGAGATATATTTATACTCTAATAGGAATATTAAATTAGTTCTTATCTTTTTAAAGTTTGAAATGACTTATTAATCCTTTTGTCATCCAATCAGTTTTTTCTCCCCTTTTTTTTCGTGTTCTCCCCTTTTTCGTTTTCATCCAATCGTGATTTGCTCTCTCTTAGTCCAGTTATCATCTACTCTAGTATCTTCTAACCCTAGTGTTTCAATCAAAAAGCTATCACGCATATATGCACTTCAAATAAAGGATTTTCGTGTTTCGCTGATGCAAATTTCCAGTAAGAGAGTAAGTGTTATTGAATAACATGATTTTCATTTTAGCCCGAAACTTCTTAAAACTAGGAAGTTTCAGATTTAGGATTGTTCATTTAATAATTTCATAACTGAATTTAATTTAAATTCAAAATAACTTGTCATATTCAAAGAATAGTAGCCCAAATAATGTTTACTAAGATCTTTTTCTTTTAAATCCAGACTCTTCATTAAAGGCGTTATCGTGTCCAGTATGTTTGTAATTTCCTTCTTGATCATCAATTGCACGAATTCGTGGTCCATTTGACGGGTCAAAGATTTTACTAATAAGAGTAAAAAGATTTTATCTTTTACCAATATCAAAATTTTAAAAACCTAATTGAGATGGAGAAAACAACAAAAACAATTGGGATTTTATGGTTGATGTAAACCATCTCATGCTGAAGTCTGGAAAGGAGAAAAGAGCAATGATGATGGCCGATTATGATCAGGCTTTACTTTAATCGAGTGAGATGAATTTACAAATTTGGTAAGAAGGATAAAGTAGTCTTTTAGTTAGCCAAAAACCACTAAATGTATTTAATTAATTACATAATTAATAAAATTTTCTAAAGCCCTTAATAATAAATTCTATTCTTCCGGTGCCCTTGAGCATAATTATGTCTAATAATGTGATTGATTTATCAATAATGGATAGCCAATCACATTATTAAGCATGTTATTGTAAATTTTTTTAGTATTTGGCGATGATGTAGTATTTTAGTTCCATGTGGACTATATATCAGAATAATTATGAAAAAAACCAAAGAGAATATATAATACAATTTACTAAACAAAAAATGATTTAGTCTCACGTGACAATAATTAAAACTGTCTTATATGGTGATTTTTTTTCATAAAAACAATTAATAATTAATTAAAGTTGCCAGCGGAAAATAAGAGGGGGAAAAAAAAAGATCACCCATGTTAGGAAAAACAATCTTCCCAGATTGACCAAACTATTTTCTCTTCTCGGAGAAAAATAATACATTTTCTATCTCAAAATTAATATATTCTCCATCTCAAAATTATTGTCACAATTTAGATTTTCACTTTTAATACAAATATAAACTAAAAATGATAACGTAATACTGGATAATAAAATTTCAGAAGGAGGGAGTACTCCATTTTATTTTATTTTTTTTTACCAAGCGCCAGCTCATTTTAAATTAATAAATCAATTAACCAAAAATATAATTCGTTTCCAAAACTAATTATGTCACAGTATAAGAAACACAAGCGGAATACAACTCTCCCGCTCTAGTCCTTCACGCGCTACGTCCATCAGTCCTGATTTATATCCAATTATTCATCGTCATCTTGTTCATCAACCTTTGGGTAGGACAAATAAAAAGAAAATCCAGGGTTCGATTTCTGCATGCATGAGTGTCAGTCGGCCAAGTTTTGTACGGTGATTGGGGGGGTAATTAAGTTAACTGGCCCAATTCAATCGAATTGTTTGTAAGTGAAACAAAAAAAAATAAAAATGGTTACAAGTCTGAAAGGGGACGACGAACATCGATCAGACCACTTCCTTATGGAGATTGAAACCGACGACGAGAATAACGAGGCTGTTTCCGGATGCGAGGAGGATCACGACGACGACAACGACGACGACATTAACTCCGAATCTGATTTCACCGGAGCTCCGCCCTCCCGGAATAATTCTTCCATGGCCAGCCTGGATTCTCATTCTTCTACCTGGCCTCAAAGCTATAGGTATTTCTTCCTATAATCTTCTTAATTTGCAGCTTTCAGTTTTGTAATTTGTTATATCACAGAAAACCAATTTGCATTGTGTGAAGTGTATACAAAACCCAAGTGCATTGAAGGGTTCTTTTATCTTTGGATTGTTTTTCAATCAGTTGTTTGAGCTTTTAATTAGTATTAGAGAGTCAAATTGCTGTTTCTTTTGAGTTGTTGATTTTGAGCTGTTTGAATTTTTTTTTTTTTGCAGGAAATCAATTGACGTGTTCACAAGCGTAACCCCTTCTTCAATTGGATTTCTGAGGGGCAGTTCAATTATGAACTCAGCTACTAAGAAACCTGAGTTTAATGGTTTTGAATCTACATTAACTAGAAGACTTATTTCCTCCTCCCCGAGGTTCTGCGAAGAAGATCCGCTCTTATTGACACTTCCAGAAAAGCCAACTGTCCTAACTCCTGTTTCAAACAACAAGCCATCTACCCATGAATTGCCCCCTCCTCAGCAATGCTCCTACGGCCAAACAGTTCTTAATGGTAAAAACTATGATGTTTTAATCGAACGAGTATGTTTCCCCTTATAATCCATTGATTGATTTTTCATATATCTTTTCTTGTTTGAATGCAGCAATAAATGCTTTATGCGGCATTGGGATCCTTTCGATGCCATTTGCACTGAAGGAAGGGGGTTGGCTTAGCCTCATTCTGCTTTTAGTTTTTGCAGTCATTACTTGCTACACTGGCATTTTGTTGAAGAGATGTTTAGGAAGTTCTCCTGGACTCGAAACCTATCCAGATATTGGACAGGCTGCATTCGGCGTGACTGGTCGGGTATTTATTGCTGTAAGTGTATCAAACTTTTCTAGTATTAGCTGAACAAAGTACAACAGCTTGTTGAATTAAGAATATAAATTAGAGAGTCTGACTGAATTATTAATGGGATGCAGGTTATCTTGTACCTGGAACTCTACGTAAGCGCCAATCTGAGTCCCTTTTTTTCACTCAATTTCAGGTGCTTTTACTTATTTAAGTTTGTACTGAGGACTAAATATTTTTCTTTTGCAGTCTTCATGTGTGGAATATTTGATTATGATGAGCGACAACATGTCATTGCTGTTTCCGCATGCTCACCTAGAGTTATTTGGATTTTATCTTAATTCCTATCAACTATGTGCCATTATCTCCACCCTCGTGATACTTCCAACAGTTTGGCTTCGAAACCTTAGTTCACTATCATATATCTCAGGTGCTGAAAATAATTCTTGTACTTGGTTCATCTGTCGATTTGGAATACCTCTGTATTTGCCCAGATACTTATGAATTTTGACGTCTTGTTTTTTCAGTTGGAGGAGTAATTATGCTGGTCATAGTTGTAATCTGCTTGTTATGGGTTGGGGTCATCAATGAAGTCGGATTTCATCCAGCTGGAACAGCTCTTAACTTGGCGAAACTGCCTGTTACGATTGGTCTCTACAGTTTCTGCTATGGAAGCCATTCAGTTTTCCCAAATATATACTCTTCCATGAAAGAACCTTCACGCTTTCCATCAATTCTTGTGATCAGGCAAGCTACGAATGGATATAAACCTTTTTCTTTTAGTCAATACTGACATTCGTGGTAGAATTGCAATGTAGCTTTACCATTACTTTTATCCCTCATTTTAAGTGTTACTTTAACTTCTATACAGCTTTTCCATGGCATTTATTCTGTATACGGGGGTAGCAATGTGTGGTTTTCTAATGTTTGGTGAAGCGACAAAGCCTCAGTTCACTCTGAATCTGCCAACAAAATTTGCTGCTACTGGGGTTGCTGGGTGGATAATGGTAAGTATTCTGAACTCAAAATGGATGTCAAGAAACAAAAAAGTTCAAAGCACCTGGGCTTGACAAAGAATTTTCTGTGTTGTTTACTTATAACTTACATAAAACGTCTTCTTATTGGTTTAGGTTTTGACTCCAGTGACCAAGTATGCCTTGACAGTCACCCCTATTGCATTCGGACTGGAAGACCTTTTACCATCAGCACGGTTTCGAACTTATGGTGTGTCAATACTCATAAGGACAATGCTAGTGATTTCAACTCTAACCGTAGCATTGGCCGTTCCATATTTTGGTAAATATTCCTACCTTTTGTACTCAAATTGTTTATACATATTTAAATGAAGATCTTGACTCAAGAAACATCCTTTAATCTGCTAAGCTGTGAATTTTCTAATCAGCCCCGCTGCTTCTTTCCTTGTTGAACTTGCAGGATCGTTGATGGCATTAATTGGATCATTACTCGTAATGCTTGTGGTAAGTATCTTTCTCTACAGTTAAATTTATGAAGGAAGTTAGAGAGTATATGCTGATTGATGGTATTTCTTGATTGACAGTCTCTAGTCCTTCCGTGTGTTTGCTACATTAGACTCGAAAAATTGAAAGCCAACCAGGTATGAAATCAGTTCTTTTCTCTTCAAAATCCTAGAAAACAGTTAAGCATGTGATTAATACCGTTCTGATTCATTTCGACAGATTGTTGTTTGTTCTGTCATAATCTTGGTGGGCATATCGTGCTCTATAGTTGGCACAATCTCTGCAATCAAAAGCGTAGCCGAGCAGCAGACTTGATGAATACTGAAAGGTCTCAACTTTACCCAGAGTTGGTTCTATCCAACACTAAATGTTTGTTGTACACAAACCTTTAACAAAAAGTACAGATTAGAGAGGCAGCAAGAAAGGCGAAATCTTTTGGTAATTTGTTCTATTAGTTAACTTAAAACGTGGGGAAGACGAGATCGCCCCCCAGATGTTTTGTGATACGACACGATTAACATTACAACTTATGAGAAGATAGCAATCAGACAGACCACAAGATCTAAAGATTGAGTTTTATTTTGTTTTCACCTAACTATTGAATTCAATTCTTTCATGTATTCTGATCCGATGAAACATAGTTCTGGATTGCTTAAAAGGGCTTGTAGTGGTAATATATTATTGATCTCCCTGCGCTACACCCAAACTCAAAAAGAAAGCTCTGAAGAATAGTGCTTTTGAACTGGATGTACGAATGGCTTTGGCGAGCATCTCTTGATTTTGAGTATGAGAAGAATCACATCACATATGACTTTTTTTTATCTTTTCTTTTTAAGTGGCCCCCCAATCACGGGGTAATGCACATTGCGGAATTGGGTTGTTCAGCATTGCATGTGCTTTGCCACACTTTTGTTTGATGATTTTGTGTTCTGTTCCGTGTCATCAAAAGCTTGCATATTTTCTGCACCAAGTCATAAATCTTACGAAAAGGGGACAATAAAGATTGACCAAAGTGTGATGGGAATGACATCAAAGCTAGTTATAAAGACTTAGGAACTATAGGAAGATTGCATGAGATCAGTGTCCGTTTGATTATATTAATGCCAATTTGCCCAACATCATTGTCGTAGCGAATCAGGCAGATTGGTTGAGATTTTAATACCAAAAAAAATGTGGATTTCTCCGAACGTAAAAAAGCCAGAAAGAATGTCTTAATTATTTGGTGAAAACGATGAGCTATATGCAAAGGATGGGTATCCCATTAGTAATGAGGTCCTCTAAGGATTAACTACCCATCTTCTACCGGGACAGCTGCATGTTCTTGCAATTATGGCCTAGTGTCCAATGATTTTTGAGTCACAAATTGAAATAGAGTCTCCTCAATCGAAATGGAGATGGGGGAAAAAAAGCAAGATATTTTGAAACTATTTTTGTTCGCCTAACATATATTCCTTGCAACTGTTTCAGTTTAGATCTTGTAATCTAAGACAGTGAAACTTTGACTAGAACGTGGGTTATGTATGAGCGTAATATTATTGTTATAATAATTATTTATCAGGTGTTTATTTCTAAGTAAATACATGTTTCCCTATATTCTCTCCGATTCTTATTATAAACTATTTTGATAAAATCAAAATGATTTATAATAAGGATCAGAAGAAGTACTTATTTACAAAATAATCATAGAGAGATAAGGAAATTCAAATCAAATGATGTCAATCTTAGGATACAAGTGAACCACATCTCAAGTTTAAGATCTAAAACATTAGCAGCGGTGAAAAATAAAAGTGGACAAATGAGTATCCGGTGCGGTTATGGCTTCAATTTGTTGTTTACTCATCATAATTCAAAGTCTTCTCTTCCTTCAGTACATTGCCATGGCCCGAAACATACAAATCTGTCGTAATGTCGTATAATTTTAACCACACCATGATCCCGGACTAGTACTTGTTGACCACTACTTTGCTGTTTAATCCCAATATTTTCCGTAGCAATTTTTTCGTTGCAAAAATCTTTCCTCTTTTTTTCAAAAACTTTAATTGTATTAATAAATACTGTAATTTTCACCGCATTTCAGTTGGGATTCAATCCTGAACATCTCAAAAAGATAACTTAGGGCCTGTTTAATACCCCTTTTGCGGTTTTTCCCAGAAGATCTTTTTCCGAAGTTGAAAGAAAGAAATAAAAAAAGTCGTGAGAAGATCTTCAAAGTCATATTAGAGTCAATGTCTTGCAGCTGTGGGCTTACGTCCTTATTAGAGAGAACCGTGACTTAACACATTCATCTGTCCCCAAATCTCATTACAGAATCTAAAAGGCATTTCGTCCAGACACAAACTACTTTGTCTTAATCCTCACCTCTTTGCTCCATATATCTTTCTCTAAAACATTCCTCCCTCCATTTCAATTTGTAGGTCGTTTTAAATTTAGAGAAATTTTTCAAAATATAGATCGTTTTATAAATTCTAGACAAACTAATAACTATTTTTTTTAACTTTACCATCAATAAATGATATCAATCTATTTTCATTTAATTTTATTTATAGTTTCAATATAATTAATGAGGGGTAAAACGTATATTTAACACATAAATTAATTATTATATAATTGTCTGCTTAGTTTACATGCAAAGTCTAAAGTGACTTACATTTTGAAGTGCAAAGTCTAAAGTGACTTATATTTTGAAATGGAGAGAGTATTCCGTTTTTAATTCTTAAGAAATTAAAATAATCTGTAACACACATATACTATATTTATAGAACAATACTACTTCTTCACCTAGAGATCTTGAACACTCTTTTTGTAGTTTGCTTGTCAGAATTCCTCCACATTATTCCTGCATTCATTTCATTCATCAGAGAACTAGAAAACCATGAAAGTCTGTGCTCTCATCTCAAGCTCCCTTCTTTTTCTTCTGTTCATTATTTTCTTCTTAATTATCCAAACCCAGCTCTTCTTTTGCATAGCTGATTTGATGTATACCCATAACCCCTCCAGACCTTCAGCTCCGGCGCTTCTCTTGCCCTTGAAAACTCAAAATATCTCAACCGGGTCACTCCCAAGAGCTTCAGATAAGCTCCCTTTCACTCACAATGTCACCCTTACAGTTTCTCTCGCTGTCGGAACGCCCCCACAGAATGTTACCATGGTCCTTGATACCGGAAGTGAGCTTTCATGGCTTCAGTGCAACATTTCCCGGCTAGGATTGGGACTACCCGGATTCGACCCGAACAGGTCATCTTCTTATCGCCCGGTGGGTTGCTCCTCGCCCACCTGTACGACCCGGACCCAGGACTTCTCCATTCCAGCTTCTTGTGATTCCAAGAACCTCTGCCACGCTGTCCTTTCATACGCCGACGCTTCTTCCTCTGAAGGAAACCTTGCATACGACACCTTCAACATCGGAGGTTCGGATTTCCAGGGTACCATTTTCGGGTGTATGGATTCGGGTTACAGTAGCAACTCCGAGGAGGATTCCAAGACAACCGGGTTAATCGGCATGAATCGTGGGTCACTCTCTTTTGTTTCTCAAATGGGGTTCAAGAAATTCTCGTATTGCATCTCAAGTTCTGATTTTTCCGGCGTTTTACTGCTCGGAGACGCGAACTTCACGTGGTCAATACCGTTAAATTACACGCCGTTGATCCAGATTTCAATGCCGTTGCCGTATTTTGATCGGGTGGCATACACGGTTCAGCTGGAAGGCATTAAAGTTTCGAATAACTTGCTTCAACTACCCAAATCCGTATACGAACCTGACCATACAGGAGCGGGTCAAACCATGGTTGATTCAGGGACCCAGTTCACCTTCCTTCTTGGTCCGGCTTATACTGCATTGAGGAATGAGTTCGTGAACCAGACATCCGGGTTTTTGCGGGTTCTGGAGGAGCCGGATTTTGTTTTCCAAGGGGCAATGGACTTGTGTTTTAGAGTACCCGAAACCCAGAAAAAGTTACCGGCATTGCCGCCTGTAAGTTTGATCTTCCGGGGTGCTGAGATTACGGTCTCCGGTGAACGGTTGCTGTATCGGGTTCCGGGTGAATCCAGGGGAAACGATGAAGTGTTCTGCTTCACATTTGGGAACTCCGATTTATTGGCGATTGAAGCTTATGTAATCGGGCATCACCACCAGCAAAACGTATGGGTTGAATTCGACCTGGAGAAATCCAGGATTGGGTTTGCGAAATTACAATGTGATCAGGCGAGGCAAAGATTAGGTTTTGATCATTAATTTCTACGAACAACAGTGCAGCAGCCCTTCATTAAATTCTTTGGGTTGATGGACCATTTTAGGGAGAATCACAATTACTCTCTCTGTACGTACCAAATTTGGAGTAGTTGCAGCTGGCATATAACCCCCATTGATTAAAGATGGTGATTGCAACCAGTGAATAGTATTGGTTGCTTTTCTGCAAACTTGCATTGGTGTCACTTTTTTCCACAGATTTCTCTTTTGTAATGTGTATAGGTTTAGTATTATTATTAGGTAAATGGTAGGATTAGATTTGTTTAGAAGTGGTAGAAAAAGTGCATGTTGATTGGTGATGAGGTTCAGTTTATTTATTGCTGAGATTATTATTAGACAATAATATCTGCAGAATAACTATTAATGTGCATCCAAATTTGGGGTGTTGATCGAGGATTCTGCTGATGATTCTCTGATCTGCCTTCACCGTCCCTTTACTGTCGTCTATCTAAAAGCAAAAGCAATTTTTTTTTTTTTTTGGTGATTTAAAGTTTACTGGGTGGGTCTCAGAATGCAAAAGAATCACGTTCATATGTATGTTCTTGGAGTTTTGGCGTAGTATCAATACGAGACTTCAATGACTCCAATCTGTGTACTACTTTATATATATATATATATATATATATATATATATATATATATATTCTCCATCCATCATTGGGAACATTTATTTATCTTGAGTATGTAGTACTAACTATTTACTCTCCCTTTCTCAAAATTATTGTCCAGTTTGAAATTTCACTTTTAGTACAATTTAAACTAAAAATAAAAACTCAAACTAGATAATAATTATTGGACGGAAGGGGTACTTCTTTTTACAAGATCAAACTTAAGCACCCGACTGTGAGTAAGAATAGGTTATACTCAAAGGTCAGTAAAGGTCAATACTCAATACCATTAAAAGTCTGGACAGTGAAGATAGTAAATTGTTGGTCCAATCTGTCGGAACACTGTGTGTCAGTCCGCAATAAAATTTAGTAACCGATAGGGTAGTTGGCAACTTGGGATGACCAAGGAATCTGAATCATACCGCAATGAACGAAATACTTCTAATTGTATGAATAAATGTCAGTAAATCTGGATACCCTTCTTTTTTTAGGGGGGTTAACTTCGGATACCATTCATTACAAGGATAGAGTCCTAGGTGAGGAAAGTGGTAAATGCGTTAACGGCTGAACCAATTCAGTAGGGAGAACAGGAACATGTATTCTTTTTCGCAAGGAAACTTGTTCATTTCGCATGCTTAATGATTGTCAAGAGTCATTTGTATCACATAATGCATGATATTGAACGGTCGAAAATTTGAAGAAATAACTCTTGAGTTGGTGCACAATTTATCACATTGCAATGATGAGGGAGCTCCATATCTGCTCTCTCTCTCTCTCTCTCTCTCTCTCTCTCTCTCTCTCTCTTTTCAAGTACGAAACCAACTAGAGAGATCTCCACCAGGCTCCAGAATGTTATCTGACTGCTAATTTCTTGGTCTCACTCGTGGTTACGAATTCGGGATAGCTAGTACAATTAGATTCACCTTCATCAGCCGTTGTAAACTGCCAGGTTGATAACATAACTTAATGGTAGCTTAAAATTATTTGATTAAATACTTTTTTATTTCACCATGTTTGATAATAAAAAATAAACCTCTTAATTAATTAAGTAGTTCTGAAACTGCAGTACAAAATATAAACAATAAAATTTAACTTATTGCTTATCTCATAACTATTTAATAAATTCAACATTTCTGATTCAATATTAAGTATTCATAATTAAGTACTAATTTTTATCAAACAAGCCATATTGTCGGGATTATCTACTCCTATAATAAGGTTGAATTGTTTAAAGTTTTATTTTAAAAAAATCATGTTGCACTACTTCCTATGTTTCAAAATTATAGTCCAGTTTGAATTTTCATTTTTATTATAAATTGAACAGAAAATTAAACTAAAAGTGAAAATCCAAAAAATTGAACTACAAGTGAAAATCTAAACAATTGAACTACTTCCTCTGTTCCAAAAAATGTTGTACTACTTGCTCTGTTCTAAAAAAATTGAACTAAAAGTGAAAATCCAAATTGGGACAATGATTTTAAACCGGAGGGAATACAAGCTATAATTAAAAAAAGTTGAAGAAAAAAGAAACCAGTAATATATATATATATATATATATGCAATTTCTTATGAAATGTTATAGATTAACAAAAAAAATTAACAGTAAAAAAGTCCGTAGCCAGGAAAATGCACAAGCGATCCATGTGAAACATCAATAGAAGAGCAGCTGACCAGTTTGAAGATGCTCTCTTTAAGAGTTTGCCCAAATGTATTACTTTCAGTTTCAGCAGTGAAGCCCAAACTTGAGTTCACCGTATGTTTCTTACACTTAAAGTCTTGTTTATGATTGTGTAATTGCGCTGGAGTGAAATTAAGCTGGAGAGAAATGTTTAATCTAAAGTAGTATAATCTGATATGTAAATTGCATATAAATTTTATGGATTAATGTTATCAACAAGGTGGAAATTACATTTTTGTTACCATCTAGATTGGTTTGATGCATAAAATAAACTTATAAATGGGTGTTTTTAAATAGTTTAGTGATACTCCTCTCCCAAAAAAATTCAATTCAAGATTTATGTTAATAAAGTATAAATCTCAAAATTTAAAATAAATTACTTTTTTAGGAAAGAGAAAATATTATTTGTTAAAGAGTTATATTGTGAATCATTTACCAAAATAATGCTTTTGCACCACTTGTCGCCTGTAATACAAAGATCGGTGAGATCGGTCAAGAAATGTCATTACCGAAAAACTAAATTCAATTTTTATAAACTACAGTAATAAAAACAGAATTTCATTTGCCGATTATAATATAATTAAGAGTACTTAGCGTTTTTTGAAAGGTTTAGACAAAAACAGAAAACTATTTTCCGTATTAATAAATTTCTTAAATAAAAAAAATTCGTATAATAACCTTTATAATATTATGAATAAAAATTTCGGTAATATCGAAAAAAAATTTACGTAAATACATAAACGGAATGTGGTTTTCCGTTTTTAACTTATAATGTTAAAAAAAAAAGTGAAGTCTAAAGCTCATCAATCTGTGCAATACCAATAAACATAAGCAAAATTCTATTTAAAACAGAAGCTAGTAACAAAGTAAGCAGCAAAAGTATTCAATGCCATTAGATACATAATTCCAACCACAAAAACAAGCAGCAACTACAAACATGTCCAAATCATGGAATTACCCCCAAATCATGTCCAAAACAATTCGAAACTACGAAATACAACCTAAAAAGAAACTACTCCTCCGCCGATGGCTGCGTGGACATGATGGTGTATACTTTTTAGGTGGCCTACATTTCCGATCCTGTTTTCTTTTGCCGAAGGTGGACTGGATTGCTGCAAAATCGGGGTCACCTGAAACTCAGCATCTTACTCCATAGTTGGGGTCGCCTCAAACTCAACATCTTGCTCCATAGTAGTTTGTTCCTGGGGAGACGGAGTCTGAAACAAGTTTGCAAAGAACTCATTGGATTCTATTACTTTCTTTCTTCCTCCAATTCCAGCATTAGGAACATTAGCCCTGCGATGGTTAGCAACTGTTTTGGGTCTTTTAGGCTGAGTTTTGAGAACCACTTGGCTTGGATACAAAGTAGGTATTTCTGTCGGGACAATTGACAAGGCATTCTCGGCCAAAGCAGAGATTGAACCAGAAAATCTATCACATGTTGCATTTGAACAATATTTCTTAGCCTTGTACGTTTCGACCTCCTTGCAAATGTCATTCAAAGTGCCCGCCTAGAATTTTGCAAAGTGAAGAGACTATAAAATAACTAAAAAGTACAAAAATAACACAAATCTATTGGAAACGGCAGTTGAGAATTACAATAAAGAAGAGCGTGAGGAAAACTTACATATAATTTGGCCCGATCTGATTGTTGAAGAAATCTTTCCACCCTTTGATCATATTTATTAGGATCCGTACTGAATCTGACGGTCCTGACTTGATACCACGGAAGATAATCATTAGTGGCTAAAGGTAGCCCATCAAATGATGGGTCTTTCTCAATAGATCTCAATCTGTCATCCCAAGAGGCAATATATTTACGATTCTTATCCAAACAATTAGTCCCATGATATCTAGTCTTACCATAACGATGTATTTTACCCATTGAGTCTTACCGGTAATCAAGGGTAGTTCTAGGATAGTTTGGATTTGTCCAAATTGTCGAAGGACACGATCGGGTTGATGTGGTTCCGTGACATCAAAACAAATCAACCACGTTTTTGATTGCCAACATTTTTTTACCCCGTGCACAAGCATCAACAAGCTTAGGTAGATATTTATCTTAGGGCATCCAAGTGAACAAAAAAAATCAAAAAAAAAAAAACATAATAAAAAAGTCACCAATAAATGTGAATCGTGCAATATCCAGATTTGGGGACTAAAAAAATAAAATAAGGCCTTCCCTGAAAATTAATAACAAGACTAATCTAGTTTTCAAAGCCGAGATGCACATTATAATACGAATTGCCCCTAACATCACAATCACACAAAGAGCAAAAGCACAATGTTTGAAAAAAATGCTGCAATATCCAGATTTGAAAAAAGAAAAAAAAAACAGCCTTAAAAAAGGAAAAAAAAATTCAATTGTTTTGAAGGATTTGAAAAATAGTCTTGAAAAAATCCAAAAAAAAAAATTCAGGTTTGAAAAACAAAATCTCCATATTTGAAAAAAGAAGAAAAATTTGGTCCATATTTGAAAAAAAAAAAAGAGAAAAATTTGATCTAGATTTGAGAATAATAAGAGAGAAATAAAAAGTCCTAAATAATCCGAGCTCTTATGTGCTTAGGTGTCCTAAGAGCCGAAAATTGATCTCAGTAGGCAGTGATAGTATGAACCGGCACGCCAAAGAGGCCCAAAGGAACGCACCACCTGTGGGTAAAATAATAAGACACAATTAGGTTTTCAAGCAAACTAAAATAAGTGTAACAATAAAAAATAAAAATTATAAGTATGTACATAAAATCTTGACAATAGAAAGAGTGAACTTGCAAATTTCTTGACACATTGGACAATAAAATCTTTTGTATCGCAAATAGTTGCTGCTGGTGGAAATGCTACTTCTACTACAAGTTGACATGTTGATTCTGCACCTCCTTTTGCAGTTTGGTATATTTATAGAGGAAAAAACGGAAATTGAAAACCGGAAAATGGAAATTTGTTTTCAAAAGAAAACCGGAAAATTGAAATGCGTTTTTAAGTAAAAACGGAAAATCGAATTGCGTTTTTAAGTAAAATGGAAAACGAAATTCCATTTTTTAGTTAATTCTGTTTAATTTAATTACTCAAATTTCATTTATCCCGTTCAAAGTATTTACAACAAATCATTGCGATAACAATCACAAAAAAAAAATTACTGATAACCAACAATACAAGTAAGTCTAAAACTGAAAAATACACGATGCATCATTCCAATATAAATAAACTGTTTGTTACCCAAAACAGAAAACATTCAAATCAAACAAGTTCCCAAATGCATAATAGTCACAAAACAAACATTACTAATAAAAGACAAAAA